GACATCGCCCTGTCGGCTCTCGAGCACTACCCGGTGCTGGAGTGCCTCGGCATGCAAAGCGCCACCCTAGGCTTGTTAGGCTTGATGGCTTGAATCGACGGCAAGCGGCCTCCGGACTAGACCACCCGCACTGCAGGAGCCTGGAGATCGTCCACTGTGAGCTCGGCCCGAAGCTCCCACTGCTGCTGAAGGCCGGTGTTTCCTTTGTGCATTTTCCGATTTCCGTGTTCTGCATGAGGAAGCCAGTCGCAGCATGCCGCAGCCCAACCACTTCTCGGCAGGCCCTGGAGAACATCAAGCTTCGGCAGCTCCACCTGCAGCAGAACGAGCTGTTTGAGGAGGGCACCCGCCAGGTCATCGAGGCCCACCGCCAGTTGCCGATCCACAGATGCATCATGGAAGCTCAACGATGCACTGCAGGCCTTGGCTTTGCAGTCCAACGGGACGCTTGCGGCACTGAGTCTGGCCCACGACCGCATCGGCGTCGCTAATGTCAAGGCTTTGGCCGAGGCCTTCGAGCTCTGAGATGAGCGGGGATCGGATTCAGAGATTTGCAGACCGAAGCCGAAGCGCGATGCCTGCAACTCTGCATGTAGGCTCTGCGGACAAACAGCGCTTTGTTCGAGCTGAACCTGAACCATGCCTGCCTAAGCAGCGATGGCATCGTGGCTCTCGCGGAGGCCCAGGGACAAGTTGTACAGGCCTTTCAAGGCTTCCGCCGAAAGGAAGAGTCGCTGTGGCTGCGAGCAAACCCCGTCATCCTGTGCAGGCAATCGTGCAGAATCGGAGCCTCAAGCAGCTGAGCCTTGCCGGAACCACAATCGCAGAGGAAGGCGCTTTCGCCCTTTTTGAGGCTGGCAGCTACTATTGTACTTGCAGCAAGCTCGCAGCCACCCCAGAAGTGTTTTTTCGAAACCCTAAAACCCCCTCTCTTCCAGCGAGTCTAGAGCACCACCCTGCAGGCTCTCCGAACTGGCGGGGTGGAGCGGCGGCTCGATCTGACGGGCTGCGGTTGGGGCGATTGGGGCGATTTGGGCAAGGCCTACATGGCACTGGCCAGAGTCCTCCGGGCCGGCCAGGCGGGGTGACGAGAGCTCGTGGCGTGGCTTCTTCCCCGCTCTTTCTCTCACATCTTCCCATCTTCTCCGGCTGTCGCTGTGGCTGCCTTCTCTCTTCAGGTCCAGGTGAAGGGCACCGTCACCCACCCAGCGCTGGAGTTCTCTTGCATGTTGGAGGCTCGCGTGCTCTCTTTGAAGCGTGGCAAGTTCTTCATCACTTCGGGCCCGACCGAATGAAGTCGACGGCAGGGTTCTTAAGGGCAAAGGGTCTCCCAAAGAAGCCTGGAAACCGGAACCCCTCTACCACCCACCCGACAGACGGCCTGGTATAGTCACCTTTGCTTGGCACAATCGCTCGCTTCTGGTCTAAATGGAGCTCTTCCGACAGTGCCTGGGCCCGGCGCCGCCGGCCGCACGCAGGACGGATCTTTCAAAGAGCTCGAGGAAGCGCACAAGCTCCGTTTTCGAGGCCGCCGGCTCAGCTCTGCGAAGGTTCCAGGTCCCGGGCCCCACCACCGGGCGTGCGCTCCCACACCGAGGCGACGAAGACTTCGAGAAGCTCTTCGCGCCGCTCTGCCGGGCCCTGCCAGTGCTCCCGAAACTTCGAGAGCTCGACCTCGGGCTCCGCCACCACGGCAGCCGCTTCGGCCAGGGCCCCGGCAGCTTTTTCGGAGCGCTCGGAGCGGCGAAAAGATCCTCCCTTCCGCTGGCAGGCGCTGACGAGGCCCGGGCCCTGGCCGCGGGCCTTAGTCAACAAAAGGAACTGGAGCGGCTGACGTTGGATCTGCAAAACAACTCCCTGCGCCGGGGGCCTCAGCTGCGCTCCTCGTTCGCTTTTTGATATCCAGCTTGTTGGCGGCCGCCTCCCACTTGGGGTTGGGCCTGCAAGCCGACCCTTGGTATTTAGAGATAGCCGTGGAGACGCAGAGGCCTTCTTGTTTGCTACTGTAAACTGCATCCAGTGTACGCAGCCCACCATGAAGTCCCAAGCCCATCTCATCCTAAGCCTAGCCTGTTCCCGAACGGCCCCGACTCCCAGCAGGTGCTTCCGAGTCTTGGATTCACGCGGCGGCTTTCTTGTGAGATTTCCATTTCGAAAACCCTTCTGCCCAAAAGCCCGTTCCCGTCGCTTCGGGAAGGCCGCCAATTTCCTCCCTTTGGCTGTGCCTCGCGACTTTTTCCAGCTGAGGGGGGCAGCAGAAACGCCCCTGCGGGCACCGAGGCGAGG